CCTCTTCACGCACAAAGGTACAAGGATGTCACATAATGCTTCACTCTCTCTTGTACACACATCCATTACTTCTATTACATTGAATTTCTTTAATATAACCACGTTTAATAGAGTGTTTTGAGGTTTTTTTCTGTCACCCACATTAACCCAACCCAATTAGCCAACAGACAAAATACCTTTTATCCACAAAGTAACACTTGCTTTTTCACTCCCCCATCTAATTGCTTTGGGACGTGGGTCAGTGTTGGACCTGGCATTGCTGGGTTAACAGTTGGACTTGATGATCTCAAAGGTCTTTTCCAATCCAAATCATTTTGTGATTCTATGATTCTAAGCCCTTTTCACAGCCATGCCCATATTAACTCATATACATTTCTCCTACCTCCAAACTCCCTCTGAAATAATAATTTCAGTAACTTCAGGCCAGAACAAGCTCTTCAGGAAGGCACCAAATGCTGCTCAGTCAATCCCACCTAAGCAGGGCATTTGTTATTGAAATGGGACTTTTTTTTTTCCCCTGAAAACCAACCTTTCTCCCTCGAGAGACTTTTGCTTCCCTCCTCCCAGCCACGCGTGACTCCTGCTCAGCCTTGCTTCATGCTCTGATGGAGGTAACTCATCCTTACTGGTGGTGCATGAAGCCTGAACATTTCCCTCATGCCTGCTCCCATCCCAGATGCTCTTACATCTTCTCTTCCAGAAAAAAAAAGTGGCAGAAGCTGGTATTTTATTTTTTTTTCAGGCTCCCTGCAGATGTTCAGAAGCCTGCAGGGCTTTTTCGGGGAGAACAGGTTTCACATGCCTCTAAGATCACAGGACTCCGTAAAAATAAACCATGACTGGGTTTTTTTTGTTGTTTTTTTTTTTCCCCTGGGCACCTGTATCACTGCCTGCTGCTACAATAAGCGTATCAAGTGACAACATGGGAAAATGTGGTTATTCAGGATAACTCTATATGGTAAGCCACGTCCCTTCTAGGCCCTCACATAGGCCAGCTGTCTCCTCTCAGCCTTTTTGTACCCAGGGCTCACCGGATTTTGAGCTCATGCCATCTCAGCTAATTTTAGCTGCCGAAATGTTGGCACCCAACTACCTGCCTCATCCCCTTCTATCAACAGCATCTCCCAAGGGTGACTCAGTCCATCCCAATATAGGTATTTAGCTCTACAGAGTTTCTCTAAAGAGCTTCTCTTTAGAGCTGATTATAGATGACTTGATCAATGATCAGCTTTCCCATGGTTAAATCCAGATGATCCAGTCTCACTTTCTGTGTCTGTAACCATAAAAGATTAAACCTGTTTTGCATCAACCTTACTATTTTTTATGGAGAGCAGACTATAGTTCTGGCAAAACCTGCTCAAAGGAATATCTCAGGTGGGAATGAATTAGATATATGGAAAAGACAATCCTCTTGCTGCAGAATGTCTTCAGGACAATCTGTTCCCTAAAGCAAAGTGATTCAGGAGCCATCCTAAAGAAACACTTTCTTAAAAAAAAAGAAAAAACAATAACAAACTTCCTTGTAGACTCACACAAACTTTTAGAGAAAACCAAAAAAACCTTTTTTCAATGAGTTGCAAACGTAATTCAAACACACCCAATGCACTTTGAAGATTTTAAAGTATTGGATCAAATTCTATGGTAATGTATAGGTGAGTAACATTAAAATGTTGGAATGGCTGCATTTACTCAAGGGGACGTATTTCACATTTATGCCACTGTAACTGACATCCCAGTACGGACCCAAAACAGCCTGAGATCATGAAGCAGTAAGAGAAAGATAATGGGAAAATCTAAAATGATTCTGTAGTGCATAAACGAGGCTCTGAGACCATTATCATGATAGCAGACTAGAACAGTCAGGGAAATTGAAACAAGAAATGCTTTTCCTTACCACAGAAATATTTTCATTTTAAGACTTTTTAGTATTTAAAAAAAGAAGTTACCAAATTCCAAATATAAAATTGCCCAATAAAGTCTGAGAATAAATATTGATAATTCGAGACATTCCCATCAAGAGACGCATTTTGATCATTTTTAACATTTTGTTTTAATACAAGGTTGTTTTCCTCGCCTTTTTTAGACGGCAGATTATCTTCTGCATGAAAACAAGAACCAGTTTCATCCTGGAATGCAGGAATGGGATGTTTGGAGAATTTCAAAACTCATTACTGCATTTTTTTCAAATGTTGTACAATGATCTAGGGAGGTATTCTGATCTACACCAGATGGCCTGAGCTCCACCAGAGCTAGGTTTATGAAGCAGGAAGCAGTATATTTGCCAGACCCAGCCTCTCTGCACAAACAGCTTCAATTTTGACAAAAGCATTTTTGATGAAAAGCATTTAATTGAAAAATTCCCAGGAAAAATTCTCAAGAGAATATAATCTCCCCTTGCTGGGAGTTTCGGAAAAATAAAATACCCCAGACCCAAATCCATGTCTTCCCCAGTCAGATTTGGTATATAGTAGATAATGGAATATTCTCTGCAAAAATGAAGAGATGTTACGATGGGAGTGCTGGATTTATTTGGTTTTTAGGAACTCAATATAAATATTTATAGCACTTTAACAAATATGATAAGATGTCATAACTGCACATTGCGCTGAAGGGAAAAATAGGAATTTGCATGACCAAGTGTGCAGAGTAAGTTAAAAAAAAAAAAAAGCAGCAATTATTTGATTTCAAATCCTGTTTGGATGAAAATGCATTTGACGATTCTGAAATTGTGTTGAGTATGAAGATGCATGTCTATTTCTTGAGTGATGTGAATCTGGGGCTTGCTTTTTCTTCTTCTTTTTTTTTTTTTTTTTTAAATTACAACTCATATCTCTGCTGGACTTAGCTGCCCTTCATACCACAATGTCATAGTATCCCAGCTGGATATTACCACAATGTCACAGTATCCTGGCTGAAGCCTTCAAAGAGAAGTTTTAGCAATTCCCCTCACCTCCTTTTACTGTTCAGGAATGTTAAGTACAGAGATGTTAGCAGGGAGCTGGATCCCACCACGTACCACTTTGCCCAAGGTCATGGTGGAAGCTCTTCTTGGAGCACAGCACTAACTCTGGTGTCATTACTTTAAAAATTAACCCCAACCCAAATGCCTTGTAATTTAACTTCTTGATATAGTTACAAATTAATACACTTTTTTTTTGTCACCAGTATATAAACTGAAAGATTTTCAAGGTCTTTATGATGCAGGGAGGAACAAACCCACTTTTAGTGCTTCCTTTGATAGAAATCCCCAGCTGCAGACGTCAATCCCATGTGGAAGAGGCAAAAGGTTTCAGCAACCCTTGATTTTGAACAACCCATGAGACCTATGACAGTCTACTCAGGAGACATGCTGAAGAGACAGAATAACATATTCCCTTTCTCACACAGTTCTTGTCTGGTTTTTTTTCCCAAGGGAGAATTATTTTTTTAGCTAACAAGAGAGGGTCCAGAGACATTCACCCCTCACTTCAGCTCCAAGGAACTGGTACCGTGGATGGCACTGGAGCTCTGTCTGCTTTCCTCTTTGGCATTATCTAGTCTTGTCCCATGTCCTCTGGTTCACCATACACACTAGTGATCACCAGGAACTCTCTGTTGCTTGTCCAGTTTCTTGTAGGAAACAGGGAAGAACCTAGCTGCTTTAAACTAATCAACAACTCACCCCCAGGCATTGACTGGCCCACATCCCCAGGAGGTGCAAAGCAACTCTTCATTTCCCAAGGGGCAAGGTCTTGCAAAGAAATCCTGCTATCTCCTGCTATGTCTATCAATCGTGAGATATTTACTGTGCAAGCAATATGGGAAAACTGCTCCTAAAGATGTGTGCAGGAGTCTCTGACATTGCCTGTGAATGTGTGTGGTGCAGAGGGAGCAAAGGGGAACCAGTCAATTTTACATCTTCATTTGTTTATTGTATTTTTGTAAGTCAAGAGGTCACTCTTTGGTAGTCCATTTCAAGGTCATTTCCAGAGGAATGTATAGTTTCTTTCTCCTTACCATTCTTGGAGAGAAATTTCTTTTGAAACAAAAGAGTCACTCTCAGATAGCTGCTGAAGGATCCATTCTCACGGGAAAAAAAAAAAGGCATTTGAAAAGGAAATGGATCTCCAGCATCATTTTACCAGAATTACCTGCTTCTCAGCTTTAAAACCTTGAGTATTTCCTAAACATTGGCAGGTCCCTGTGAACAGGGTGGTTCACTGAAAGGGCGATGTGATACCAGTTAAGCAGCTCAGGATCAGAGTAGCGACCCCAAATTCTCTCAAAACCTATTTCTGAAATGGTCTTGGAAACGTTATCTTGTCCTCACACATTTGAGCAAGACTGCTGATATCAGCAACAACTTTTTTGCAGAGACTTCTCTGGAGGAGAAGGAAGAGGAAAAGCCTTTTGGAGGAATACTTGGGGCAGAACCTGAAAGTGGTAGGCCATTCAAGAAATCTGGATTTTTACCCGTTTCTCTCTGCCTTCCAAACCATATACAGAAGCACAGATTTCTGTTGCAATTCAGTTGGACTTTTCCAGAAAACCACAGGAGATGTCACTGGCTCACTTTAAGGAAGTCGCAAGCTGGGGAGGTCTACCAAAGCGATGCAGCTCAGGCAGAGAGAAATTAATTCAACCCATGCTCCAGGCTCACTCTGAGCCTATAATCTACCTGCAATATTGCAGAGGAGCAGTAAGTTTCCTGCTGGGGTCAGTGAAGCTTGCATGGAGTAAAATTTGCTACTCTGGAGATAAGACAGGACAAACAGTTCTGAACATCCTTAGATAAAATAAAATTCAGCTTTTGGCTTCTCTGCTTAGCACGGCCCCAGTGAGTTTTCTCCCACTCTTACTCTACCTGTGGCAATTACCTTTGCTTCTCATTTTGTGCTCAAAACCAAGAGCTACTTTTGGAGAATGTCATCTGGCAGCATTGAATACCCCACCACCAGAACCACCACCAACCCAAGTCCCATCAGCTTGCTCCCTCCCGCACCAGATTAAAAGATACATACTTTTACAGAAGCTGGATTAAATTCAACTTCTTTTTTGGGTTCTGGTTCTGCTGGTTTAGGTGCTGGTTTGGGTTCTTCCTTCTTAGGCTCAGCCTTCTTAGGCTCAGGCTTCTTTGGAGGCATGTTGGTTTGCTGATGGGCTTTAGGAAAGGAGAGGAGTCAGGCAAGAAAGAGGTGGCTGCTGCAGGATAAAACTCCAGCCAACACAGGTCTTTATCCCTGCCCCGTCTCTTGAAGTCACACATTGTGTCACTCTCAGACCTGTCACATACCAGAGCTTACAATAGGGCCACTGCTATAAAAGGACAAGACATGTACCCAGCTATTTTAGAGCCCTTGGACCCAGCGTTGGTGCGAATTAGCACTTAAATGGAAAGAAATTTGAGGGGGTTTAGGGCTGGCGCTGAGTCATACATTTTTTGGTGTGCATGGAGGTGTGCATGTCTGAGGGGTAGGTTGGAATTACCCCCCAGGTGCCGTCCATGGGGTTTACCCTCTCCAGGGCCACGCTGACACTTACCTTCCCAGCTCCCACGCGACAGAGAGTCTCTCTCTCCGGCTGGATGGCACCCCTGGCCTTTGTTGTCATTAAAAGACAAGCACAGATTTATATTTAGACGTGAGTATGGAGCTGTATGGGAGGTTGGCCACCAACGTGTCAGCTGGCGCAGGGGAGAATTCATGCCTCAGATCACACACTGGTTTTCTCCTGGGAAGGTGCAAAGAATCAATATTGTATATAGTAGAATGCGTCTAACGAGCAGGGAAACACACACACACAGAGTCTGGGATAGCTCTGGGTGTCTGTAAGTACATCCTCATGGCTGAGATTTTCCAGACCTTTTTAGGCACTTGAATGCCAAATTCCTATTAAAATAACTAAGATAAGGCTATCCATTTGAAGCTCTTCTAATCACAGCCTCGCTTTGATTTAAATAAACCCTCTTCAAAGCCAAACAGAGTCAACAATTTTCAGATCTGCGTTTTCTTATGTCATTTTTCTAAATCAGGATGTCGCTCTTTGAGACATGGTCACTTCTATATTGCTTAGATTATTTTCTTTTTTCCCAAAAAAGCCCCTACCAAATCGCAACACACTTGAATCATAGAATCACAGAATATCAGGTGGGAAGGGACCTCAGGGATCATCTGGTCCAATCTTTCTTGGCAAAAGCACAGTCTAGACAAGATGGCCCAGCACCCTGTCCAGATGAACCTTAGAAGTGAACAGGTGGTCTATGCTGGCATTTCAAATAAGTATCAGCCACATCATAAAATCTCTTTGTTTTACTTGCTATGCCATGCTGACAATCTACTGTTCAACCACCTTCCAGATCTGTTTTTCCTGATGCTGCTGTCAGCCTGATCCCCCAGAACCTCCATCCTCTGCACCCCTCAGTTCCCTGGGTGGCTTTGCTGGAAGAGCCCTTGTGTTTTGTCCTGCCCAAAGCTTGGGACATCCATAACCATAGGTGGATGCAAGCATCTTTGAAGTGTGACATGAATACAAAGCAGAAAGCAGTCCACCCCCGTTAAGCTCCTGGGTCTCCACCATCACTTCAGCAAATTAAACCAGTTGGGGACCCTGAAGAGCCCGGAGGAGCAATGAAGAAAGGCTGAGCTTTGTGTCTGTACGCCATGGTGTGCAGTTCCAGGTCCTACCTGAATGGGAGCCAACTTTCTGATTCCAAATTTGACGCAATGCCATGGTATTTATTGTAGGAATAAACAAATCACCGCAATACCGTGATTGTCACAGTAACGGTAATTTGTGCTTTTTGGATAGTGGGTAGCAAATCCCATTCCTCTATTCAAAGAGGACGCTTTGAGAACACTGTCTGTGACAGGAGCCCTGAGCTGCCCCCGACCAAGCTGGTGAGATGTTTTGGTGTTTCAGGGCCAACCTGAGGAACCACATTGTCCCCTGCAGTGTGTCACCTCCCAGGAAACTCAATTCTGGTTAAAGCTGGTAATTGAGAAGGGCTGTGTCTCCACAGGACGCTGTAGAGAAATCACAGACTCACAGAATGTCAGGGATTGGAAGGGACCTCAGAAGATCATCTAGTCCAGTCCATCTGCCAGAGCAGGATCACCTACAGTAGATCACACAAGTACTCATCCAGGCAGGTTTTGAATGTCTCCAAAGAAGGAGATTCCACAACCTCCCTGGGCAGCCTGTGCCAGGGCTCTGGCACCCTCACAGCGAAAAAGCTTTTCCTAATGTTTTTGTGGAACCTCCTACGTTCCTCCTATGCTCCTATGAAATCTCTCTTCTCACTGTCCAGACCGGACTCTAGCCCTACCAATTCTCTTCAGTTCACAAAAGCCACAAGACCCTTTCTGATGGAGCCCACCAGCCTCAGTCCGTATTCATGTGGTCACTTAGGCAAGAAGTTTCTGACAGTAGCTCACTAATATATGGATCTACTCACTATAACAAGTGCAGGTAGCTTCCCCAGAAACGTAAAAGATGTTCCTGGAGTTTAGAGTGGGATTTTTTTCTTTGGACATGCAACAGAGATGCACTAGATGATCCCACCTGACCTTCAGTTGCCATTGCAGAAGGACCTCCATCTCCCATAGGGTCTGTGCCATAACTGCATACTTGTCATTCCCATACATGTCTTAGATACCACCGGGTATCAGCAATGGCTCTAGAAACACTTATATAGGCAAATTAATCCCATCCCCTGCAAATTCTTAAACTATAGGACGGCCGCAGAGGCCATTGTAGGCAGAGTAAAAAGATACCACACAATTTGCATTTAAACAAGTGTCTGAAGCTATAGATATTTACAGATGAAATAGATGCATCACCCTCACATTCAATACACAGGCTAGATCTCTGTGTGATTGTGATGGGGGCAGAGACATAAAGATATCTACATTGTAGACACTTCAGTGAAAAGAACCCTATCAGACTGAATTCCACCTTCTGGGGTTTCCTTCATATTGCAAAACTCCAGAGGTAGAGGTTTTTCTTCACGTTTCTATTTCTCATTTTCCGCCCAGGGCAAACAAGAATTAAGTGTGGAAAGTGTTTGATGTCCCCTGCCAATCTCAATAAGTGATCCTTTCAGACTTGGAAAACTGTAGATATTTCTACCAAGAACCAAGAGACATCCTGCATTGTTTTCGTGCCTTGTAAGAAGTTTTGCTGCATTGGTTTCTATAATGAAATGCGACACGGCTGGAGATTTGTAAGAGCTTTCTACAGACCCAAAGAAATACCTGGGAGTAATTTCACCATGTTTTCCCCCTAGACACTTCTTGATTGACATCACAGGAGCCAGCACAGACCTGGGAAACTCTGAGTTCTGTTAATTCAGAGCAGCAAAACTGCAGCCGCAACCACAGGGATGGCATCTGAGAAGGAACCAGCCTAAACACTTAATTGTGTTTTACACAGTATTTGAAAAAGCTACCAGGTCTTGTCCTTGAGCTGAAAACAGCACTGGGAACTATCAGGCAATTAAAATGCCAGCAACAGCTCAACAGCAGCTTGGGATCTCGTCACCTCCACCTCTGCAAGATAAGAAGAGACCATAATAACAAGGAGAGTCATATTTCATATTCTCTTCTGAATTCCACAAATCAGCCAAGGTTGTGGGGTTTGTTGGGTCTTTTTTTTTAATTTTTCCACCCAGCTGTTCTCTAGTAAAAATACATTAGAGAAGTAACAGCAAAGATAATCCAGAAAGCTCACCTTGGTCTGATTCTCAGCCAAAATTCTGTAGTCATACTGTCGTACAAAGATTATCTCACTCTTCTTTAAATGTATTTATGGTAAAGCATATTCACAATACAGCTGGCTGGACACAATTCACAGATAAAAATCATCAAAATCAAAACGGTTGCAGTATCCTGACCCTTTTTGTAAATTGTTAGTTCCACTTGGAGGGGAAGCTTCTGGCAAAATCCAAAAGTCCCACTTAAATACTTTGAGGTTTTATTCAATCCCTTATCTAGCTGTTCTTCTTCTAGGCCCCTGACACATCCCCTCTTGACTTCTGTTTAGCTTTATTTATGTGGACCTGTTGATAACTAGAATGCACAAAGAGATCAGCCCTTTCTCACAGCTTCAGGTAGTTCTTTATTTTTGCTTTTTCATCACAGCATCGTGTGGATGGCAGGCAATATCCCCATCTATGCGATTACTGCATCTATGTATGTTTATCTTTATTCAAATATACAATGCCAAGGCAAAACAGGGAGCTACGTTTAAATTTCAAGTACCTGCAGGGCTGGCCAACCACTGCTGGGAGGATGTCTTGGATCAATTCCATGGATTAAAGATACTCCAATGCCTTGTAAATCCTTCTGCAAACAGCCAAATCAATGCAGCTAATCTTGCCCTAAATCCCCCAATCATCTCTTCCATGAGGGTACCTAGAGACCCAGCAGATGGGAAAAAAGAAACAGACAAAAAAACAACAGAAAACCCCACCCTGACCAAAACTCTCTTTTCCTATTAATAGATTTTGAAGGACAGGAGTTGGGAGTGGGAAGCAGTGCTCTTCAAGTTTTGAGTCATGCTCACAGCAGATGTTAGCAGCAGATCTCAGTGCCAAAGAGCTACTCCAGAGTCACCCTGGAGTCCTACGTGAGAGGCTGGACTAGCTGTGAGTTTTCTAAAATTCTCTTGATCATGGGGCTATGATAAGTTTCTCCTGAGAGATGGACTGGGATCATCTTCAAAGGGAACAGAGCTTGACAAGACATTTCCCACATGAGAAAAAAAAATGGTTTTAAGAACCAGAAAAACAGAATATAAGTGAAAACAAAATATTCTGGCCAAAATCAGAATCGTTTAAATTTGGGAATATTGCCACTGTGCTTTATGATTCTCTGGGCCTTGCTAAGTCTGTCTGTCCAGTTTCACTGAAATCATAGAACAATCCAGGTTGGAAGGGACCTCAAAGCTCATCTGCTCCAAACTTTGGTAGGAAAGGAGGCCTAGATGAGATTATTTAAGCGATCTTACTCTATCATCAGCTGCAATTTGCCACATTTCCCCTGAGACAGAGTAGAGGAGATTGTATAGAGAAGATGAATCATCTCTTTCTGAGGAAAATGAAGACCTGAGAAAAGTTAATGATTTTCTTGAAATATTGTTGTGGGATACTTGAACTGTCTGGAGCCAAAACGTATCAGTTTTCAAACATTTGACTTCTCGACAGAGTAACGCCCCCCAAGTAGCTTTGCTATTTTTTTTTTATGT